ATGTTTGTGTTTGTGTGTGTGGTTGCAACTATGTACATGATTCTATTGAGGCAAAGATAGGCACGTGGTAATATATATATCCGATTTGCATACATGCACATATGTATGTTAAACGGTTCTTAATTTCAATGGTTTGGGGCTACCGCCGGGTGAGATGCTCCGACCATTGACACCAATGCAAAATATGTTCGTTTTCCGAGTATTGAAATTGCCCAGAAAGCCATAGATGACCACTTAATCTAGAACATATACTCGCGTATCCAAGCAACGGACGTATAGACCGCCCTAGATAAAGTTTCTTGTGCTGCTTCATCGTATGTTACCTGTTAAACTGAAGTATATAATACAGAAGGCCATGTACAAGGTACACGAGAGTACAGAATGTAGAAAGCTCTATGCAAAATACACGAGAGTGCAGAATATAGAAAGCTCTGTGCACGATACGCTAGTAGTGTAGTAGTGTGGTGCATTGCTGTGCAAGGCTGTCAAATGTTCCATTAGAATACTGGTGTGAGAGAGTTGATATTTTTATTGCATATTCTGGTTTAGTATGTCAAAAACACATGTCTGCGACTATCCACCTGATATCTTGGCCCAAAACGAGGTCAGTACATACCACTTCTACAGCAAATACTTCACCCATAACCATATAGTGAAGTACATGGCTACAAGTACAAGGATACCCAATACAAATCAGGAGCTGACTGCAGTTATTTGGTTTAACAACTACATTCCATATACAGACTACACTTGAATATGTGCGATCAGTCAACAGATATCGTCACTGTGGCAACTGTATGGCGACCACCAATATCGCTTTCAGGGGCCATATAACCTCCTTCAAACGCATGCGTATACATGTAACGACAAGTCTAAGCTAAACTAATGCGAAACATAATCCTACATTCGAGCAGATACAAGTACATTCAAACAGATGATAGATGATTTTATAACTCTCGACGCCGCTTTCGTAGACGATACAACCTCTAGTAATAGACGCAGTGTGATTTCATACACCAATTGGCAGCCATTCCTGACTGTCTTCTTGCCTGTCAGGGTAGACGTCGCATCCTTCTATATTAGAGACATATACTATGCTAGGTCATGCCCAAAATTATACCAGACAATAATAATAGTTACCTGTCGCGAGTATAGAGTATCGATCGCACAGCGACAAACTGTGACGAATACTAACAGGTTGATAGCTGCCTAATAACTCAACTGACTGAATTCTAACCTGTTAAGTGGAGAGATTCACCCTTCTATGCTATAGTTGTATGTTATGACCCATATCGCAGCTGATTTTACTTATACTTTCCTATTATTGCGTGTGTTAAGTGGGTACATATGTGCAAGCTATTCTCTCTCTGTGGGTCTTAATACTGTACATACGTGCGCGCCATTGCGCACACGATAGCCATTTGTTTTCAATAATAAAATGTTTTAAATTCCAAAAAAAAAAAAATTTGAGAGAGTTTAGACTGTCAAGACGTCGTCGGTGTGAGAATTGACATTGACACTCTTGACTGTTGCTGTTGTGACTTGTGGAGTTGTGGAGTTGTGAGTTGTATTTGTGACACTTGTTGTGATGTTGTGGGACTTGACAGTGAGTTGTGAACTTGTGGGTTGTGACTCGCTCGAGTCTTGAGTGCTTGAGTAAAAATTGTAAATACCTGTGTGGCTGTGGAGCAGTGGAGTCACGGGAAGTGGAGTGTGAGTCGGTGAGACACTATAGAGTGGACACAGGTCACAGTGACGCAGACCACAGTGGTGAGTGGTCACCGGACACAGTGGTCACTGGTCAGTGGACTCTGATTTTTATTTCAATACACAAAAACTTTTTATTCACGGCTTATCGCTGCCATCACTAAACGCGTGTGACTGCTGTACTGGTAGAAAATCGTACCTTTCGCACCACCACCATGATTATATCAAGTGATTCTATATCCCACATGATAATATAGTTGTGCTATGATATACTTTGGCCTGCTTTATAATCTGCACAAAGTAATATACGAAATGAAGAAATCATGTTAGGTGTTGCAGAAGTCACACAGCCCTATGCATGCAGAGTTGACAGTAATAATCAATCGAACGACCGATACTCTACTGACGTATATCGAGAACATGCAACGTATGACAGTTGAAAAAGTTAACATGCACTCTGCGAAAAACAAAACTGAGAAGGCAATAGACTCGACATGGGTAGTGGCACAGAATAAGGGCTTTACGCGATGGGTTAATGAACAAATCAAATCGCGCATTATGGCGGTGGATAGTGCAGAGGGTATTGAGGGCGCCTTTGCCGACGGAATCAGGTAATGTTATCGTACAGCGGTCAGTATACACGTAAGTAGCCTAACTTCACACAAAAAGGGGCGTTCAATCTGAATATGTATACCCGTATACATTTGTGTTGGAATATGTACTTGCGAGATGTATGTCTGTATTCATAATGCCAAAAATATACACGCATTGAAAAAATAAAGAATCTGGTCTTTGATGAATATATATAGTTTTTTCTTTATTCGAGAACACATATTGGTATGCAACATATGTAGACCATTAATGTATGTGTATAGAACGATGTATGCATATGTGTGTGGTGTAGGTGCATGTGCATATGTATGTGCACCGATGTATAAATGCAATTGTACGTAGAAAAAGGGGGTGTAAACACTATTGAAGTGTTGATTTATTTGTATACATACAATACGTATATACACATAATTCGGAAGATTTTACATACATGTTCGCTTATTCAAGCGAATACCTGAACTGTTTTGTATACACTCGTATGTGCTTTACGTTTTCATAGCCTGTACCTATATAATTTGTTTACATACTTATAGTTCAACGACCTGCTTTCGTGCGACAAAGACGCCTAAGCTCTCCTCGGCACAGATAACCTGCTCCTTCTATATATGCAATATATAAACTTGAAAGAAATTTTACGTACATCTCGATACTGTACGCATGCATCAGTATTGTTTACTCATTTTTTTAGTTGATAGGCTCACAAAAAAACACAACAAACATATATATATATATATATGTATGTGTGTGTGTGTGTGTGTGTGTGTGTGTGTGTGTGTGTGTGTGTGTGTGTGTGTGTGTGTGTGTGTATGTGTGTGTGTGTGTTTCTGTTTGTGGACTCACCCGCATATCTTGAGGTATATATTTGATTATATTCCAAAAACGGATACAAGTATATATTAGTATCTGCGCGTATATATATTTAATAGAATGCATAAATATATGTATACTAGTTTGCCTAGTTTTATTTTATGTGTATGTGTGTATCGTAACGTTTTTTGAACGTGTTCTTCGTACACTGTTCATGTACGCCGCCTTTTCAATTTCGATCTCCAAAATTTGTACGCATTCCCAGACTACCAGCACTTATTGAAGAGCTCAAGGGTGGAAAGACCATATTCAAAGTAAATGCGAAAAAAATCAGGAATAGGTTCCAGGTGATGGCATCGCTCAATGCTGTACTGGACCATCTGCATAGAGTCGAAGGAATGTCCTTGATCAACATTAGTGCTGAAGGTGAGATATCTTGATATACCCGGATGTACACAGGTACAAACATATCTGCATTTACAGGAGTGGATACCTGAGTCGTATGTATGTGTGGTATGTATGTGTGGGTGCGGGTAGGTTAGTGGGTGGTTGTGATTGTTGATAAAGGCATATGCACAATCACCTGTGCGTAGTAGACCCCAAGTTGTCTGTGAACCAAGTCCAGACCCGGAGTTGTTTTCGTGAGCTCGGTCCTGCTATTGTATTCAGTACCATTTTATTAGCAATACTTGATATACCAACGACACGTCTATCCAAAGGTTCCCTATCATCTTAAGCTCTTGGATGCAACCCCTCCCAGATATCTATGGAAGGTCCACCAAACTATCGCTAGGGCTTGTTTGGACGCTCATCAGGCACTTCCACATCCAGTCGAGTTTGGGAGAGGATTCCGCAGAGGGAGCAGACGTGACCACGCCCGTGCTGGCGGACAAATCAACTGACAGAGAGAAGTTAATGCGACGACTGAATGCCATCTACACCCACCGGGGCCAGAAGCCTATCCGGTGAGTGAGCTGGTGTGTATCGTTTAAGGGGGTGGACCTCGTCGTATGTTTTTGTGTGGTGAATTTTGCATTGTACTGTGTTGTGTGGCGTGTTCATGGGAAGCCACGAGCAAGCCAGGACGCTGGTGCACTCGTGGGAAAGCTGTACTTAGTACATAGCACGTGTTGAATGATTATGGGCTTGCCTGGGCTCTGCAAGAGCTGTGGATATCATAACAATGCTCTCATCACGCGTCGCGGTATAGACAGTGTGCGCACAGACTACAAGTATATTCGAGTACAACTTCCTAAAGAGGCCTTCATCAGAGACGTCTTTTTGGATATAGGACATAGCCTCTGCACCGTACCTTCATTCACAACGAAACATCACTCGACCTGAAGAAAGTACCTCACAAATTTCACACCCGAATCCTTTCGCTACTTCCCCCGATCCTTCAGTGATAGAGCACGCGCTGCCGGTATGTTGTTCTATCAAACAGCACCTTACTAGCCCTACTTTAGTATCACTCAGACAACCTTGTCCACATCCACCGTATCTACAGGAACTTCAAATGCGACTTTGTCTCAGCAGATCGCTTCACGTGTCTACTCGGCCACCTGAGAGATACACAACGCGCCAGTGGAGGGTGTGTGCGTACGGATGCGACTGTAGATGGCATGCAAGACTTCGGTACACAGCCCGTGGCTGTGCAATTTGCACTCGTGTTCAAGGCTGCAGAGGAGGAGTTCGAGGTATGCACGATGGGTGGATAGTGTTGATTCTGGTAGGTAGATATGCAGTGTGGTTCTGGCATGGCGATAGGTTTGGGGCTGCTTGTTAATGATATAAAACTTGAAATACGATATATAAGCAAGTCCTATACTGCACAGTCTCTTTTGTAGAATTGGAGTTAACCCTATATTAAGAATCATGTCTATAATTGTAAATGATACGAGCCTAGCAGATAGATTAAATTTCTACTTGCTATCTTTATGATATGTTCACAAACCTTGATATATATTTATTCTTACTCAGACAGCCACTTCATCATATTACAATTCTCGCCTATGCGTCTATATACCCCCCAAGACTATATATACATATGTATATATACATATGTATGTTAACGTATCTAGAAACTTTCTTGCACGCCTACCCCCAGATTCCACAGCTCCTAGACGCGGAGGATATGGCCGCCCGCGACTTCGGTGAGCTGATAGTCATGACGTACACTACGTACTTTCTGAAGGCACACCACCAGCTTTGCGGCACGCACGACATCGTGTATGCTTCTCCCAACACCTCCAGTGACGCTATTGACCCCGTCGGATCTGACATGAAGATTGCAGACGTGCTTGGTGAAAGAACTGATCGGAGCCGTGTCCTGGCGCTTGATGACCAAGACGCGGCGCTGGGAGAGGCCGTTGGGCAATACACAGACCCTTGTGTATCTGTTATGTCCATGGAGACGGTGCCTGAGACGACCGAAGCCAAAGTATCGCACGAACAAGACCACGCAACACCAGCAACTCGGGTTCCGGTGCACACTGATCCACTCGAGGATGCGGGCGTAGACGCTGAGGAGTGTATTCCATGTGAACACGCGGACACCCGACTGCGGGTGTGTGCTGGCCAGCAGGCTGATGAGGTCTGTGTGGGGCCGACCACAGTGCTCGATGTGGTTCAGAGTGAAGTAACGAGTACTCCGATCGTCGCTGGCCAGTCCGATGGGCGGGAGTGTGAGATGGAGGCAGACCCCGAGTTAGTGGGCGTGGCACAGGCGCAGAGCGATGTAGCGGAGTGTGTAATTGAGATGAAGGAACCAGTGGATATCGAACCTCCTGTCTCGTTTGAGGATATGCACGCGGAGAGCATCGCGTTGGAACAGAGCATGGCCATTCGCATGTTCAGTGAACACGCACGTGATGAAGCCACGGCTGTGTGGCAGGCCCTGCAGATAGCTCCGTCGCGGACAGACGACAGCGAACCGCGTATACATATACCTGATGATGGAGAAGTTCGGGGTGTGGAGCTTGAGCCAGTCGATACGTTCAAGCCTGGCCATACCGAAAAGGGAAGGGATGCGAACGGAGAGAAAAACAGCCTTGCATGGATGAAATGTGATGTAGATACGGCAGACGCAGTCGAAAGGCTTGTACTGGCTCCCAGCCTTGTGACCTCTGGATGTGCTGACGAGGAGTCGGTTGTGTCGGATTTATCGGATTGTGCGACTGTGTCTGATTTTGGTAGCAGCAGCACCGCTTTGTTAGGGGAGAAGAGTGGCGACGGTGCGCAGCGACAGAATACCGCACAGGCGCGTGGCCAGGCATGTAGTGGTGCTATAAATAAAACCGATGGTGGTGCTATAAATAGAACCGAAAGGATGTCAGAGTGGGAGAAGAGTTTCGAAGAGATACTGAGATGGTTCTTCCTGTCTACGCTGGTGCAAGGGTCTTACCTTCGGGCTCGATAGGCTTCAATACTTGCCGCCTGTCTGCGCAATGGTTGCCACAGTGCCCTGATTGCCTGTTGTGGGTTGGAAGGGCTAAGCAGCGCGGACGTCGACATATCTGATGGATGGTCCACACCACCCATCCCACATAGTATTCCACGATTAAGCGCGATGATTATGCAATACTGCCCGTGTGGGAAACTATTCGCACGACGACAGTTGGTACAATAAACAAGGTGCAAGGTTTGGGACTGGAAACCACCTCTTTGGGTGGACTTGCAATGCATACGTTTTGTGCCATACTCGGCTGGCCGTGTCGGATACTTCAGTACACCGCAATTGATACCACCCTGCTACCGTGTCAGAGGACTATCTGCCCCAGAAATTTGTACGTCAACCAAAAAACGTATTCATGGTAGTGTCCATTTGAATCAGACCGGACTTTTTTCTTTTTTTTCTCTCTATTACAAAGAGGATATATACCTGTGACTGAACACTATTGATACTGGAGATGATGTCGCGGAATTCATACGTTATGGAGACATATTTCTTGAAGATTGAATGGTATTCGGAGATCGCTAGTTGTAAGACGACATGTTCCAGCAATTGATTTACCTCTAGACTGTAAAAAGCACGCGTATATCTGCTTGCAATTCTCAAGACTTTCATACAAAACATAATGCAAAAGACCATGCATACGGATACATTTCGAAGAATCGGCCAGATGGGGTCGTGCTACGAATTTCTGTAGACTGCTTGTTGTACTATTGTTATCTTCGTTAAGTGAACTTATAGTGCGTCCTTATTGTTTCGAATGTACAATACATGAAGCAATAGACGTGGAAAGACATTCGCTTTCTCAAAAAGGTACTCTCTCTCTCTCTCTCTATCTATATACATATATATATATATATATATATACTATTATATATATATATATATATATATATATATATATATATTATTATATATA